TGATGCTGTTACAAGATGAAAGGGCTACAAAATGTTTAAAAGAGTCTTGATCCCTCCAAAGGGGATGGGATCTCTTGCCAACAGCTTTCTAGGGATATAGGTTGACAGACAGCTTCTGTGGAGGAATCTGTAGGGATGGAATCTTCTTGGATCCAGGGAACAATAAGCTTTAAAGAAAAGCTACTTACACACACACACAGTGTGTTTTATTGTTTTACAGACGCGCTCTCTCTTAGAATAATAAAAAAATAGGGCTGGAAGAAAAGTAAGGAGACCATGTTCCTTCAACCCTCTGCTTGTCTAAACCAGTCCAGACCAGTGTTTGTCTAACCTGCCCTTCAAAATGTTCAAGGGTGGAGATTTCATGGCCTCTCTAGGCAACCTGATCTTAAGTGCTTTTGTTCTAAGTATGCAAAAATTTGCTTTAAGGAAACCGCTTTGTTTCTGTTTGCCATGGTCTTTGCCTTAGCAGAAACAGGACTTCTGGGTCTGAGCCTGTCAAGACCTGTTGAGGTGATTACAACTGATATGCAAGGGACTGCAAGATGGGTCCCAGTCAAAGTGGGAGAGCTGTAGGATTCTACCCCCATGGAAGCACTCGCTCTAGGTCAGAGATGAGCGTGCACTCAAGAGTATTCAGAGAAAGGGTTCACTTGATAACCATGACCTAATCTTTTAGGGAATTTAGGAAACCATTAGGTGGAAACAAGGTGAGAGGAAAAAGCTAAAAAGAATAAAATTTCTCCTGCAAGCTATATTTATGAGAAGATAGCCAGATGGCAGAGAGATTAAAAGCTATCAGCTGTAGTGAGAGATGATGCCTAAAAATATATCATTGTCACTATCCAGGTCGGACATTGGGCACCTCTGCCTTTCCGAATACCATGCAGATTGAGCTTTCCAGGTACTTATTGACTGTCTACCAGCCAATCCACAAACCAAGCAGAGATTTTAATTTCACTTGAAACACCTGCTTGCCCTGTTCCATTTCAACCTATCCCTTCTCTTTCCTACCTAAGTAGGCATGTCCCCAGCTATTCCTTCCAAGTTATCATAGCTGCCTTCCCCAGATTTCCTCTCTGCCCAAGATCCTGTTATGGCATATACTGAAAATGTTAAACAGATTAAATTCAAGACAATGATTTAGTTTTACACTTGTGAAGAGCTTTAAAAGATGGAAAACCCTCCAGATCAGTGGTTTTCAAACCTTTATTAGACTTGAGGCACCCCTCAGAAATAGCCAGCTCTTAGCTTTCATTCTTTTTTTTTAGACTACAGAAAAATTAGAGAGCAATTCTTCTGTTGCAAAGGACTCAGAAAGACCACACCAGGTCAGAGTGTTTTTTAATACTTTGGATTTCCATGTGAGAACTCTTGGTTTATCTTGCGAATGCTGTTTGCTCACCTAACAGTGCTAATATTGTACAGCACCCTTGAAAGGATCTCAAGGCATCACACTGGTTGAGAATTGCAGCTCTAGATTAACAATATCTTTAGGGCTTGATATCTTCAAAGCAATTTTAAAACATTAAACTAATTGATTTTTCCATGTGGATGCAATATTGGATGAGATTCACTGCCCAGTTCTGCCACAGACCCCTCTTAATCACAGGCAAGTGACTTATCCTTCTATGCCTCACTCCCTGTCTTTACAATGGGGTTAATACCCCCTTCTCTTGAAATGGGGTAATTAAACAATACAGTTCATTAATGGACATGACGTATTGCCCCAAGCCTATGGTAATCAGAGCTATATACAGCCCCATGATCCCGGCAACACTTTTATCAATAAGATTAACTTTACACATGGGAATAGATTAACTAGATGAACTCACATGAGATTAACTCTCTCTCACTCATGTTTGCAAGACTGGGGCCTAGGTACCTAGAGAAATGAATATGGTAGAATAATTATATTGATTTTAATCACAAGGTTTGGAAGAGGAGATGGTTCATTCTTAAACCTGCAGTTCCTGGAGTCCCCTGAGCAGTACCTTTTAATTTTTAAAAAGTAAGCTTCCAGCCTGCCTGCTTGTCCAGACAAACTTGCAGATACAACTCAAGTAAAGCTAAAAGTCCTAAAAACCAGAAAAGAAATAAAAAGCCAAGCTTTTTACTTTTTGCTAAATCACATGATTTTGAGCTAATCTTGTGACTTTGGAAAGCTGGCTTCCTGATCTTCAAATTGTTGTAATCACAAGCAAGGATACCAAAAGAAATTACTGCCATTGGATGTTAATGCCCTTTTCCCCATGCAGAACTCTCTAAATTAGACAGTTTAACTAAATGCTGTTGGAAAACAAGAAAAAAAAACCCTTCCCTTTCTTGCTTTGATCAATCTTCCCCTAATACTGAGTTTTAAAGGCAGCTTTCCCTTGGTGGAAGCAATGCAGCTTGTATCACAGCCACTAGATGGAAGCAAAAACTCACTGATGGCATCCTGAGGGAGTCATGGCCTGAATTAGTCTTGCACTGTCTGCTATGATGGACTTTCTCTATTATAGGCAGTAAATTGAACCATTTCATTGTCTGGAAGAATTTTCTGCGGTTTTCCATCCAGAGGCCCATGATAACAAATTCTGCTCCAGAGTTTCAAGGAGACAGGAGGAAGATAAAGGAGAGTAATAGTGCCCGCCTGTCCTGTGCCCCATGGCACAAGATTTTCCTATCATGTGAAAGCAGTGCAATTGGGGACATGCCTATAGGGATGCTGTTTGAAGGGGCGGAGGGTTAATTGATGGGAGAACTTGAAACACCTCATCTGAGACATCGCAGCGTCGCTGACATCAGAGACAGAAAAGGCCTGTTCGGTCACCTTGTCCCTGTCCCTGCCAGAACAGTATTTGACTTTACCCTGTTCCTGGGTGCCCTAGTCAGGCTGGACTTAAATGTCTCAGACATGGGGGGTCCCCATCACTTCCCTGGGGAAATGGTGTTACTGGGTAGAGGACCTGAGCAGCAGGAGATTTTTCCCCCACTCTGTTTTCTCTAATTTTCCTGTTGATTAATCACACCCCCAAGTCTCTCTCAGTGGTATTTATTAATCCTTGGGTACTTGATGGTTTTTTGCATTGGTTCTAGGCTTTTTGCTGTCTTCAGCAAGTAGCTTGCCACACCCACCCCAGGCCCAATGCCCCATCAGATACAGAGGGGATGAATGCTCTTGAAATTGTAATGCTCATACAGACCAAAAGACCTGGCAAGTTTGTTGTTCCTATTCAATGCCATAGGGATCCTGCGTGGTACGGCTCCATGACAGAACCATCCCCGCATATCTCCTTTCTGCCACTGTTTAGCCAAGCTTTACATACTTAGGCCTTTCGCTCTTTCCAGGCCATTTCATATTTTTTGTTGTTCTTCCCTGGATTCCCTCCTTTTTATTGACATGCAGGACTCTTGTCAGTCGATAACAGCTAGGCGAGTGATGAACTACACTGTACACACAGTTAAGCTACATGAAAACATGCTCATCTTACTGTAACCTCCCGCTCCCTACCTCGACCTTTTCATTTATTTCATCCACCTGATGCATCTGCTTTAGACTGTAACCCTCATTAGTGCAAGGACCATATTTTTTTACACCGTTTGCTATGTCTATTATTGCTAACCAATAATTATTATTATTTTTGGTTAGCAATGGATAGATCTTGGAGCTCTTTTCTGTCTGAATAATGCTTTCCTTCAAAGAACTGGCTGGATTTTAGAGGCGAGTAAAGTGATTCTTTTATATATGGAACTTTGCAAATTGTATAGACAACTTTGCGGTGCTAGTACATCCGTTCCAATCCCTTCATCAGCTGATTTTATAACAGTGTTGCTCATTTTTGAAAGAGTGATGAAAGCTGCCAGCTATAGTTCTCCGATCGCTACAAAATGTACAGTAAAAAAATTAAAATATAAAACCCTATGAAAATGGAGAATTATATATAAATTTTTCTATCTGAGGACAGCATGCAAAAGAGAATGGGTGGCATGTGACAGACATAAATCACATCATTTAATATACTCTGGAAAGTGCTCAGGTACTGGGAAACACTGAAGGTATTATAAGAACAGAATAGAATAAATGGAATAGCACATAGCTATATACAGTCCAGTTGTGTGGGACTTCTAAATTAAGACTGGATCAAACACTAGGAAATGTATTATAGAGAAACATCACAATTACATGACTAGCTACTTCTCTTCCCTATCTGTGGCCTCCCTGAGTGGACTTTTTACAGATATATGGCCTTGTGTTTTTCACCTTTTTGCCTTAAAGTGGATCCTGGGTCCTGGGTTATAGTACTCTATGGATCAGCTGTGCCTACACCAATTAGACTGATGGAGTCTTCTCTTCAGGTGCTTTTGACTAGTGATAAACACATAAGAGCCTTCTCAAATCAAAGTTGTGATTAATTTTAACAATAGCAGCAAAGCAAAGCATAAGAAAAAAGAATTTCAAAGCAATAAATGATGCACATGCAAAGAGTGCAAACTGATCACAAGCACGTTTTAGCTGGAAATTAAGGTTTCTATGATTAGAAAAACAATGTTGTGGACATGCAAAGAACTGGGGACAAGCAACTGAATTGCTTCAAGACAGAGCTTGATAAGTTTGTGGAAGGGATAATGTGATAGAGTAAGGGAGTTCTTGGAGTGGTTATCACAGCATGTGATATGCGACCTCTAGCACTGTTTTCCCCAGTGAAAGAATTAAAAAGAAGCTCAAACTTTCCGTGGAGGATGTTTGGTAATACTATGCTACAGGGATTTTGCTGGACATCTATAGGCCATTGATTTTAAACCCATAAATGTCTTCTCCCCCTCCCCGTTTTGTTCTGTTTCACCTTCCTCGAAAAAACTGACCAGGAATAGAGGCAGAAGTTTAGCTTGGATGTACTGCTCCTCATGGCACCTCTGATCCTTGGTGCTGGATCTTGCTTGTGCATTCAGCATCAAACAAAAAGCCAGATTTGAGTTCGGAAAGGAATTCTCCCCCCAGGTCAGATTGGCAAGGATTGTTGAGGGTTTGGGGCTTTGCTTTCTCTATAGCAGTGGCTGTCATCCACTTCCTAAGATCACTGAAGAATACTGTAACCAAGAAAATTCCCCATCATTGCAATGAAAAGCCATTGGAGGTACCTCTGTTAATCCAGCCATAGAACATTTTACTTTATTTTTATACCATGCTTTGTGTCCTTGGTATGAAAGAGGCCAATGTAGATGTTCTTGGAGAGTCTTCATGACAAATGTAGACCTGTAAACACAGGGGACTGGGTTTAATAGCCTCCTCCTGCATTACATACATTTCTCTTACACCATCTATCCCTCTCTTCCTCTTGAGGAAGCTCACAATAAGTTAATTTTCCTAGATACTTGAGCATCCCTTTGCATGCCTCTGTCTATTCTGTAAAAACTAGAGCCTGGTGATTTGCAGGGTTGTGGGGTCTTTTTCCAGACCAAAAATGAATATTCAGGTTGACTGAAACCTGTTGTGAATTCATGTCAGTTTGGGCTAGTTACTGCTGTCAAGCAAAAAAAAGCAAAAGGCCTTGAAAATAAATGTTAAAGTGCTGAAATGCCTGCCGAAGGCATTTTCAGAAGAAAACATTTGTACTGATTTATTCTAAAATGACATCTTATTTTGAAATAACGTTTCAGTGTTGGTTTAAAAAAGAAATGTGTTCTACCCAAAACCGTTTTTTAACCTCCTTTTTAGTTTGTTTCACCATTTTTTTTTGTTTTGTTTTTTAAGTTTGGTTTGGGTAAACCCTACATATCCCCCCGCTTTTTTTTTTTTTTTTGGTCCAGCTCCTAAACGGAACCAAAAATTGCCATGCATGCATCTATATCATGAAGAGCCCCCAAGCCAGGTACTGATTTCTGGCTAGAGTGAGCCTTTTTAATACCGCTGGTTCTCAGCATTGGTAGAATAGGCTGTATAACTGGGCTGTAGGTTGAAAGATAGGAACTTCCCTGCTATGAGCTCAGGTATTTTCTCTGGGATGTTTACTCAGAGAAGTTTCATAAAAAAAGCCCTTGTTTTACCTTCCTCTCTGTTTTTTCTACCTGCCAGCCATTCAACTAAACTAGCAAAACTCATACACTAAATATCCCAACCACCTGCTTACAATATAGCATTACAGAACAACTCAACAGCTCTCAAAGGAAGCAGAAGTGCATCAGTAAAAAAGAAAACAGAACTCTTGTTAGACTCTTTTTTCCTCCCATTTGATCCCTGTATTCTATCCAAAAAGGAAGTGGGTGGGTGAGGCTTTCCCCTTTTATGACTACAGACCTAGAGAGGTGGACCAAAAGCAGTGTTTACAGCTGCTGAAAATTAACAGTAAGATTGGCAAGGATGTCAGGGATATGTTTAGAAAGAAGCTGCTAGAGTTGTCCTGTAACCCGGGAAATTAGGAGCTTCCTGTCTGTCCTAAGCCTATCCAAGTCTGAGGACAGGCTTATGTAACCCCCTAATAAAATATTGTCCTTTATGTTGCATTAACTCCTTGTTCATTTTGAGTGGAGTTGGCAAATTGTGGGTAACAAAGAATGCCCACAGGATGGCTCATACAAGTGTGTGGTTAATAGGTAACATGTGAGCCACTCAGCAAAAAGTCAGCCTGCCTGAGCACAGGCTCTTACTGTGGGGTGAATTGTGCCAGTCAGTTCGGGTGGATGCTACAACCCAGAGAATTGGTTAAACTTGCTGCTTAAAGCTTAGGCTTATGCCTAGACTTAAGTATTGCCTTTCATTTTAATTGTTTTGCTGCAGGTTTTGCAAAGAAAGCAAGAAAATTGTTCCCTTTAGAGAGCGAGTAGCTGGGGCTGTCTTAAGGATTCAGTGTCCTGTGGATTACCGGCGCTCAAATGGCTACCTGCAGAGTTTATCTACAAAGCATACCAGTGAGACGTTTAAAGACTGTTAGATTGTAGATTTATCACTCGCTGGATGCTTTCACTTGGTGCTAGCTTTGCAGCATATTTGTAGCTATATCTTGGTAAAGTATTTGGTGAGTGTTTCCTGTTTAATGTCATTGTCACCAGTGTTTATTTTACTGTATTCCTGTATGTTCAGTGTCTTGCTGTTTTTTTCCCCTTGCCCCCCTGCTCAGTAGTACCATACCAGGGCAAAATCTCTTGTGAATGCTTCCAGCAGGGGAAGAAGTTTACTTCCCAGGCAAAAAAAAAAAGTAGAGGGCTAGTTCCTAGGTCCTTCAGAGCCCAGTGATATTTGAAGATACAGGGGTGGCACTATGAATGTTGTCTACAGCTGAGTAGCACATACAGGCTGCTACTGAGATGGGGGTCCTGTTGGTCTAGCTGCTGTATATGAACAGAACTACAGACAATCTTTTCCCCCAGAAATGACTAACTTATGCATGGATCTGTTTTGTAGCCATGTTGGTCTGGGGAAAAAAGAGAAACGCAACTCTAAAACTCTTGATTCACGTATCGCAGCAGATCAGCAGCACAGCTGGGGACAGAAGCTGTGGTTCCTTGGTCTCAAATGCAGTGACTTACACTCTAGGCCACATTATCTCTGAGCCACCCAATGCCTTTGGTCTCTTGCGGTATTGCTGCTGCTCCCATGAAACACAGATCAAATAATGTCGTATTACAGGGGACAAGCCTGACAGCAGCTTCTGTAAGCATTGAACCAGAGAGGTGATGGTGAATAAGTGAGATGCAGTAAAACCCCCACACTTGAGAGAAGCAAGTGATCAGTTCTCTGATATCTGCAGAAAAGGACGAGACCGCTGCAATCACTTTCTATTGTTTCAGGTTTCCACTGGTGACTCAATAAGACCTCATGGTCAATGGTCATCTCCATGGATGTGTCACTGCTGTCCTTCAAAGTTACTCATCCACCGCTATTATCTGTGTGCCACCCTGAGATACAGAGCTTTTCACCTGTTAGTCATGTGCTTAAATTCAGCACAGCTCACTGGTAGTATGAGTTGAGTGTATACCAAACAAGAGTCTATCAAAATGTGTGTCTTCAGTCACAGTATAAAAAATAAGGCCAAGGTCTCATGGATGAAAAAGAGATCCTACCTTGGATTTGGGCCTAAGAAATCCCATCTAAAGATGTGCTCAATTGTGGGCTCATACAAACAATAGAAATAATTTCATCCAGGCTTTTGGGAAGGTATGTTTTCCCTTCCCTGAAACCATATCTAGTGAGTCTGTAAGTTAATAGTTCTATTGGGTACATGAATATGTTGTCTTACCAATATTTTTGTCATTTCTGCATGTTTTGAACTTCTTGATATCATTATGTCATTACATGGTTTCCAAGGTAACAAGAGAGAAGAATACTGTATAATTGGCTTGGATCTCACTTCATTAGCTCATTTCATTGAATCAGTTTGCTTTTCTGTCTCCATTTGCTCATTTGACTTCAAACTATGCAAGAACTATGCACCTACTATGCTTCTAACAAAAAAGGAAAATAGTTCCTGGCTTTTACTTGGAAAGTGACAAGAGTAGGAAACGGCCACTGAACAATTCCACTTTAAAACTTCACTTTTGAATGCTTTGAGCTTTCTTCTATGTTAAACCAGGTGAATAATATGGGGGGGGGGAGGGCATTCTAATTAAAAAAGTAGGAAATGTATAGCTATAATCCTTGAACCTTGATGGCTTTTTAATTGCATGCTGACTTCTTGGAAGAGTTCTATAGGCCAAGCTGTCCAGATGCCAAAGTATCGTCTACCAGTGAAATCCTGAATTTGGTAGTCCTTGTGTTTTGCCATTGTTAGTGCCTAAGTGGGCAAGTGCTGTCAACCCGCAAGCACTGGCTGTAGCATTCTGGATGAGAAACAGTGGGGATTTTTTGGATACCTTTTAT